AGCCCCAGGACCCCCGAGGACCTCTGACAGCCCAGGACCCCCGAGGACCTCTGACAGCCCAGGACCCCCGAGGACCTCTGACAGCCCCAGGACCCCCGAGGACCTCTGACAGCCCTAGGACCCTCGAGGACCTCCGACAGCCCTAGGACCCTCGAGGACCTCTGACAGCCCAGGACCCCCGAGGACCTCCGACAGTCCCCAGGACCCCCGAGGACCTCTGACAGCCCAGGATCCCCGAGGACCTCTGACAGCCCCAGGACCCCCGAGGACCTCCGACAGTCCCCAGGACCCGCGAGGACCTCTGACAGCCCAGGACCCGCGAGGACCTCTGACAGCCCCAGGACCCCCGAGGACCTCTGAGAGCCCCAGGACCCGCGAGGACCTCTGACAGCCCAGGACCCGCGAGGACCTCCGACAGTCCAGGACCCGCGAGGACCTCCGACAGCCCCAGGATCCTCGAGGACCTCTGACAGCCCAGGACCCGCGAGGACCTCCGACAGCCCCAGGACCCTCGAGGACCTCTGACAGCCCCAGGACCCCCGAGGACCTCCGACAGCCCCAGGACCCGCGAGGACCTCTGACAGCCCAGGACCCGCGAGGACCTCAGACAGTCCAGGACCCGCGAGGACCTCCGACAGCCCCAGGACCCGCGAGGACCTCTGACAGTCCAGGACCCGCGAGGACCTCCGACAGCCCAGGACCCGCAAGGACCTCCGACAGTCCAGGACCCGCGAGGACCTCTGACAGTCCAGGACCCGCGAGGACCTCCGACAGCCCAGGACCCGCGAGGACCTCCGACAGCCCAGGACCCGCGAGGACCTCCGACAGCCCCAGGACCCGCGAGGACCTCCGACAGCCCCAGGACCCGCGAGGACCTCCGACAGTCCAGGACCCGCGAGGACCTCTGACAGCCCAGGACCCGCGAGGACCTCCGACAGCCCAGGACCCGCGAGGACCTCCGACAGCCCAGGACCCGCGAGGACCTCCGACAGCTCCAGGACCCGCGAGGACCTCCGACAGCCCCAGGACCCGCGAGGACCTCCGACAGCCCAGGACCCGCGAGGACCTCCGACAGCCCAGGACCCGCGAGGACCTCCGACAGCCCAGGACCCGCGAGGACCTCCGACAGCCCCAGGACCCGCGAGGACCTCCGACAGCCCAGGACCCGCGAGGACCTCCGACAGCCCAGGACCCGCGAGGACCTCCGACAGCCCAGGACCCGCGAGGACCTCCGACAGCCCAGGACCCGCGAGGACCTCCGACAGCCCAGGACCCGCGAGGACCTCCGACAGCCTAGGACCCACAAATGACCACAAATGTCATAGCATTAACGCAAACACTCAAACGTCAAGGTTGCCAGATACTTGGCAACTGGACGCCAAGTCATGTAGGAATGCCAGGGAATGACATTGCAGACAAAGCTGCAAATCTTGCTACTAAGAGGAGGAATGTTGACATTTACATACCATAGCCTAGAACAGATTAAGCAAATAGAGATAGAGCAATACAGAAGATGTCCAGTGACTATAATGCAGCAGTTGCAAAACATCAGGATCTGCAGGTTGGTACAAGAATTCAACTAACTAAGAACCACTTATTTTGATGAAAGTGAACAATAGACAACAGACGAGCACTTTCATCGCATCAGGCTGGGACACCCATGTTCATGGGTACAGGTTCCATAAGGAAATATATTAAGTAAACGTCAGTGAGTGACTTAAAAGCATACAAGCAGAGGATGAGCATCTTATGATAGAGGGAATAAGATGTCGACATTTTGTGACGTTACGTGATGTTGGCGGACATTGTAATGCATCACTTGAGTTGCTACAGTCATCAGGAATGGACGTCCATCACAGTGTCCTGGGAAGATAGAAGAATATGGTTATGGATAGTGTGTTTGAGTGAAGGTTACAGTGTACAACTGGTGAGGAGGCTGCCAAGGATGCGACGTATGTCATTTCTCAGTATTTATGAAGATATTAGAGATGACCTGAAGCCTGGTGGTGGTCGTGCCTGTGTGGGACTCTAATGTGTTATATCCTCAAGTGGGGTAGAATAAGTAGGTATTTCTGTGTGGAGCCTGCCAGGTGACTTTGTGTGCTCAAGTCAGGAGAAAAGAAGCTGTTAGAAGCAGTCATAAAGTGACTTTGTTGGGTGGCCGAGAGTGACGCCATCTTGGAGCGCCAGAGGGCGGGCGCCCTCACATCCTGAATTCTGCGGTAAGCTCATTTAATTAGTTGATAGGATATTTGCTAGTATTTGATCGTGTGCCCAGCGATCATAGAGAACGTATATGAATAATAGAGTAGATATTTTATTAAGACAATCAACAGATATAAGGAGTTAGAGATGAGAAGACATGCTGGAGGCAGGAGCAGTACATACTTCCTCGCCTGTGTTCAGTGAGCTGCTGAGGGGCGGAGGCTCCCCCCCCCCCCCGGGCGTCGCGTCGGTGCTTGAGTTCAGTATGGACTCGCCCAGATGGGGGAGGACCCATCTCAGCGAAACCAGCGCGGGGTGTGATGTCGGATGCCGATATTAATGTGAATATATAATATTATTTCTGTTTTGTTATGAAAACATGTTATTATGGATTAATAATGGAATTACAGGTTTGTATAGGAGAAGTTAGTGGAGGAATATACTCTTCTAGTATACTCTAGTGGAGTATATGGTGGCCGACAGGTACGGCCACCATGGCCTACTCTGCCAAAGCACAGGGGGATGGCACTCGAGGCACAGTGAAGTTAACGACAACATCAAGAGGAGCCTCACCACAGCTGGATGCCCAGCTGAAAGAGAGCCCCGTTACCTAACGCCCCGTAACTCTGATGCTCTTTTTGGTCGCCTGGATGGTATCACAGTGAACCCCTGGACGAATGGCAAGCAGTTGGTGTGGGACTACACGTGTGTATCATCCCTGGCTAACACCTACATTGACTTCAGTGTTGCACAGTGAGGTTGCGCTGCCACCCACCGGGAATCAGTCAAATCCCGTAAGTACAGAGAACTGGATCACCACAATAATTTTGTTACCATTGCTACTGAGGCACTCGGCGCCTGGGGTAAGAGTGCTACCAGTTTTTTGAAGGAACTGGGTTCTAGGCTAATTGAAACAACAAGAGAACCTAGAGCTGCCAGCTTCCTTTTCCAGCGCCTCAGCGTGGCGATACAGAGGGGAAATGCGCACTGCATCCAGGGTTCCTGCCCGCCATCTGAGGAGCTGGAGGAACTCGACAACTTATGATAATCATCTTTGTACCCTATATGTAACTTTTTTTTGTAACAAAGTTTAAATAAAACAAATATATATGTGTATATACAAAAGAATAAGGGTGGAAGAAGAAGAAAATATTAGTGTTCAGTGAATCCACAAAGTCTTCTCTGAATACTCCTTATTTTCTTCTCCGAGGCTATGGGTCCCTACATTTGCACCAGAGGTGGTACCCTCACAAGCTTATATATATATATATATATATATATATATATATATATATATATATATATATATATATATATATATATATATATATATTATTAAATATGACCGAAAAAGTAAGATTAATAATTTTAACACGAATTTTCTCAATATTTCTTATATTTCTTTTCACTGTTAATGGTAATTGAAAAATCAATAGAATTGATTTTTCAATTACCATCAACAGTGAAAAGAAATATAAGAAATATTGAGAAAATTCGTGTTAGAATGATTAATCTTACTTTTTCGGTCATATTTAATAATATATGTCTACAGAAAAGACGGCTACCAAAATATACTAATATATATATATATATATATATATATATATATATATATATATATATATATATATATATATATATATATATATATATATATATATATGTCGTACCTAATAGCCAGAACGCACTTCTCAGCCTACTATGCAAGGCCCGATTTGCCTAATAAGCCAAGTTTTCCTGAATTAATATATTTTCTCAATTTTTTTCTTATGAAATGATAAAGCTACCCATTCCATTATGTATGAGGTCAATTTTTTTTATTGGAGTTAAAATTAACGTAGATATATGACCGAACCTAACCAACCCTACCTAACCTAACCTAACCTATCTTTATTGGTTAGGTTAGGTTAGGTAGCAGAAAAAGTTAGGTTAGGTTAGGTAGGTTAGGTAGTCGAAAAACAATTAATTCATGAAAACTTGGCTTATTAGGCAAATCGGGCCTTGCATAGTAGGCTGAGAAGTGCGTTCTGGCTATTAGGGAACATACGACAGAAGACAATATATATATATATATATATATATATATATATATATATATATATATATATATATATATATATATATATAAATTTATTATTATTATTGTGTAATAAATGTTTGTATGTTAATAACAATTGATTTTTGGCCTTGTTCTGGTGAGGCTTCCTGGATAGTAAGAGAGAGAGACATGATTGCAAATTACGACATCATCAGTAATAATTGTAATTAAGAAGCAATAAGACGCTTATCTTAACATTCTAAGAAGGTTAGGTAAGGTCGGTGTTTTCTATGAAGCTTTTCAAAGTAAACTAAAATATTCACAATCAATTAGTATGTCACATATGCACTTATTAAATAAGCCAATATTGACAGTAAGCAAGTGCGAGAACGGGTTGTTACGTGACAGTGGTCGGTAACATCTCAAGGAGGATTTAGGAAATCATCCTACAATAAGGAGAGTGTGGGGGAGTTACGGCGACTCGTACTCACCTAGTTGTACTCACCTAGTTGTGCTTGCGGGGGTTGAGCTCTGGCTCTTTGGTCCCGCCTCTCAACTGTCAATCAACAGGTGTACAGGTTCCTGAGCCTATTGGGCTCTATCATATCTACACTCGTGTGCGTGTACTCATGACAACCAGGCCAGTTTGGAGCCGCACCCCTGAATAAAGGTGATGCTGAACCCCTCTGAACGAGACGATTACAGGGTCATCTCCCAACAAATTGCAAGCACTCCAGTGCCCATTGCTGGTCGACTGACGGCAGCAGAAGTGTGTTTGCCGTGGTCGGTCGTATTTTTTATCAGGGAGGGGTTGGGACCTCTGTTCGTCGGTAAGCTGGTATCAGTTTGGTTCAGTAACCCGTTTTATAAAATCCCCCCAACTCCCTGAAAATAGTTACATACCGAACAAGATTTCAATGGAGATTCAACAAAGCAGAAGTTGTTAAACACACTGGACATAATCCTACTGAAGCCACATAGGATACGTTCACCTACACCAGACAGAAGTGAGTAACACCGAGTGAGCCGGCCAGAAGATTGGGGCCCGTGCAGGAATATCTCTGGGAAAAAAATCAAATGATTCCAGTCTGACGGGGGAGACATCTCCCGTCACGCAGGGTGCAGTCGCACCTCCACAGATCTCCAGTATCATCTCTTGATACTGGTAATGGCTCAGAAAGGCCTCCACTTACGGGCTATTCATGCCCGTGCCACCTTTTGGGTGGCTTAATCTTCGTCAATCAATCGATTCTATTCTTGCTGTGCCTGCGTGACCCAGCTGTGTGGGGCCTTGACCACCTTTGTCATGGATTAAGACATGGTTGAAGGAAGGCAAGTGGCAGGCAAGGCACGAGTTCGGAACAGCCACAAGGTGAGTACCTTGAAGTCTTCATAATGGTGTCCCACCTGCTGGGGACAGGAAGCCTGTTAAACTTATCCAAGTCTCCCTAGGCCACCTACTGTCATGCTCTAAGATGCAACCCATAACAGTTGCCTGACTCCTTGGTACCTATTTACTGTTAGGTGAACAGCGGCATCAGATGAAAGGAAACGAACCAAAACGTCTTTGCTATGCTGCAGGGATCGAACCCGGTACCAGTAATACTTGTGGTGCTTAATAATATCTAGTCATGGTGTTGACAACAATCATTATATTCAAAATACCTTCTAGTGGTATTACCCTGTATAGTGGTAATTAAGTTACCTTAGCGCAGTGATCAATGATGTAAAGATAAACATAGCCAGGATCCACCAAGCATTTACATGTCTACTCACTAAACCTGTACAGCTTTCTTCAAGCATGATGGCCTTGTTTACATTTATTAAACAGTTTACGAGCTACGAGGCTCTTTATCACAATAATAACATTGGGTTGTGGAGTTTCGGAGCTCATTACTGTTTAATAACTACAAACTAAGCCGCCATGATCGAGGATAGATGAACAGGTTTCGTAACCTGACAGGTAAATGTTCCAACCTGTCCTCCAAATAGAACGTCGCATTTTGACATAAACTCTACCTAAGGCCAAAAAATGTCGTACTAGAAATTGGTAAATAATTACCAAAAGAAGGCACCAAGCTGGGATGGTTACGAAGCACCATCAAATGTGCGGGATATTCAGAGGGCGCTAAATATCACTAAGGATGCCAATACGAGAACAAAAACACATAAGGGGAACGATATCAAAGGTATCCGATTCACCAAGAATGCTATGGAGGGACAAGTGACAGCAAGGAACGGTTGGGAAGCAAGATACTCGCACGTCCTGGAAGTCAGGACATTCAATAAGGACATGCACGACTGTAAGAGGGACAATGCAATTTGGACAATAAGGAGCAGGGCGGCGCTCCATTAAGTGCCCCTGAGTTAAACGTGTATGGCCAATACGTAACCTTGCCAGAGCCGTTTCCCACCGCCGGTTACGGTGGTAGGAGGAAAGCCATGGGGATATTATTCTTAAGAGCATGCTGTTTGTTACCGGTAATAAAAGACCAACGACCTTGCCAATGGGCAAGGATTGAGGAATGAATAACTGGGTAGAAGTTTGAATGAGGAACACCTTGACTATAGCGGTAGCATCTGCATGCTCATTTAAGGATACACCAATAAGGCTGGGGACCTAGCAAAACTCCACTATCTTAAATCTGCTGGAGATGAGAAACAGTTAATGTGAAATTTCGACTACCACACGATGGGCTGGACTTGAGAACCACGAGGGCGCTGCGAGAGTCAACAACAGCAACAAAGGAGGATTGACTGAGAAAGCAGTTGATGAAGAGCATACAAAATAGCATAAAGTTTTGCCGTGGAGATGCTAGTCTCTTGAGGCAGGCGACACATACAGGTGTGGTCAGGAAAAACAATAGAGTAGCCCACACCGTCTGCAGTCCTAGACCCATCGGTGTAGACGGAAATAGAGCGGGAGTGTGAAGAAGTGTTCAAGGAAAAGGCGTGTCAGAACTGTAGGAGGGATAAAAGCTTTAGTCACGTGGGTCAAAGTTTTACCAAACTTGGGGAGGGGGATCCTCCATGGGGGCAAGGATGGAATAACACATTGAGAAATATTGGTAACACGAACCGAAAGAGAATCTTGTAAGCGAGACAGTCGTACAGAAAGAGGTAAGTGGTGAAGGGAAACAGTGACCACACGAGGGGTAAAGTTCAAAGTATGACATAAGCGAGAGTGAGGAAGTTGTAAGGACCGTGCAAGGTAGTGATTACGATGATCCTGTAGAGACAAGACTCCAATTTCAACA